CTGACACAACAGTAACAGGTACTCCATGGAGTCGAACGATCCCACGGACATAAATCTCAGCCAACCGATCCAAAGACATATTCATCGATACTGGCAAGAAGTGGGCAACCTTAGTCAATTTTTCGACCACGACCCAGATAGCGTCGTGATGTTCAGACGACCTTGGTAACCCCATAACAAAATCCATCGCAACCTCTTCCCACTTTTACCTCGGAATCGGTAGTGGTCGTAGAAGGCCTATCGGACTCTTATGCTCAGCCTTGACTTGCTGACAGTTTAAACATCTTCTTACAAAGTCGGCAACGTCTTTCTTCAATCCCTTCCACCAAAACGACCCTTTCAGGTCATGGTACATCTTTGTGCTTCCTGGATGGGCTAGATAGGGTGCAGTATGAGCCTCAGATAAAATCTCCTTCCTTAATGCTTCGACTTTCGGCACCACAATCCTGCCACGAAACTCCAAGGCACCATCGGTGCCTCGGTGAAAACCTTCGACGCCTCCGGCACAAACCTTAGCATCAATCGTACGAATGAACTCATCTGAAACTTGCTCTTGCCGGATTCTCTCCCTCAGCGTCGGCTGAACCTGCATAGAATTCACACTCCCCAAACTGGCTGTAGGAAGTGCATCAACTAGCTGGATCTGCATCCGGGCAAATTCATGGATCAACTGACTCTGCTGAGTAACAACGTATGTCAAATCACCCTTCACCTTGCGGCTTAGGGCATCAGCAACAACATTCGCCTTTCCCGGATGATACTGGATCGTACAATCGTAATCCTTGACGAGCTCTAACCAACGACGTTGCCTCATGTTGAGCTCCTTCTGAGTAAAGATATACTGCAAGCTCTTATGATCAGTAAAGATTTCACATTGATTGCCGTATAGATAGTGTCGCCAAATCTTAAGGGCATGAACAACTGCAGCTAATTCCAAGTCGTGCGTTGGATAGTTCTGTTCATGTATTTTGAGCTGGCGTGATGCATAAGCAATGACCTGGCCGCCTTGCATAAGTACACATCCCAAACCCTGTCTCGAGACATCACTATAGATGGTGAAGCTCCGTGAAGGATCGGGTATAGTCAACACCGGTGCCGTCGTAAGCCTCCTTTTCAGCTCCTGGAAACTCGACTCACAACGGTCTGTCCACTCAAACTTTACAGACTTCCTTGTCAACTGAGACAAAGGGAGTGCAATCTTCGAAAACCCCTCGATGAATCTACGATAATAACCTGCAAGGCCGAGGAAACTACGAACCTCGGAC